GCTACTCCCTCCTGCCCTTCCTCTACACCCTCTTCCACCGGGCTCACTCTGCTGGGGAGACAGTGGCCCGGCCCCTCTTCCTCGAGTGAGTGCTGGCCCGGCCAGGGTCGATGGGTGCTGGTCCCCGCTGGGCTCTGCAGGAGGTGGGTGCAGCATCTCCCTGGCACTGCGCTGCCCTTTCCCTCCTTCCCCAGGTTCCCCAAGGACCCCAATACCTGGGCGGTGGACCGCCAGCTGATGTGGGGCGGGGGGCTGCTCGTCACCCCCGTGCTGGAGCCAGGAAAGACCAAAGTCAGCGGCTACTTCCCGGCGGGGACATGGTACAGCCTCACGGGGGTAGGTGCTCCCCCACCACCCCACGGGGCTCTTGGGTGGTCGCACGGTGGGTTCCTGCACCCCACCGCTGGTACTGGCCCCCCAGGACTGTGTTTAGGACTTGAGCCTCCCCTGCCTTCGCTCATGGCCGTTTGAGGGCAGCTGCACTGGGCTGGGACCCCCCTGGGCACACTGCACCCCCTGCCTGCTCCTTCCTCTTTTTGTTGTCATTTAGGACTCCACCATCCACAGCAAAGGGCAGTGGATCCTCTTGCCAGCTCCCCTGGACACCATTAATGTCCATGTCCGCGCAGGGCACATCCTGCCCCTGCAGGTGAGCCCCCTCCGAGCCGTGGTGACACCGCAGTGACGCTGTGGTGACCTGCCTGGGCAGCCCCTGCCCGTGCATGGGGCAGGGTGGGGGGCTGCAGAGTGGTCACCGGCAGAGTGGACGTTGCTGAATAAGCTGTGAGGCTGTGGTGCTCGGCCGGGGCTGGGGGAAAGTGACTCCGGCAGCGCTCGGAGCTGTGCGTGATCCTGCGCCCCAGGAGCCTGCGTTCAGCACCGCCGAGTCCCGCACGAAGGGGATGGCCTTGGTTGTGGCACTGACGCCGGACGGCTTCGCCAGGGGAGACCTGTTCTGGGACGACGGGGAGAGCTGGCAGAGCTTTGAGAAGGGGGACTACACCGAGATCCTCTTCTTGGCCACACGCGTGAGCGAGGGGGTGCTGCTGGCGGGGGGTGTTCGCGGCCACACGCAGGTCCTGGTGCCCCTGGGGCACTCGCGGTCACGGGCACCACCGTGCCCTGGTGCAGCCAAGCTGTGTTGTGCTACAGCACCATGTGCTGGTGGGGTCCCACGGGGGCTGTACCCCCCCAGGAGCCCCCTTAGAAGGGGGAGAGGCTGCACCAGGGAGCCAGCAGCAGCGGATGCTCTCCAGCCCCGTCCCTCTGATAAATGGCTTTGCCATTTTCCAGTGACACCCATCCCCCCGGGCTCGGTGCCCTGCAGACGGGCAGCATGTTGGGCAGGGCATGCTGAGAAGCCCTGGGTGCCTGCAGGGTAGCTGGGACCCGGGAGCACGAGGTGACAGCCCCCCTGTCCCCACAGGGCGCCGTGCTCAGCCAGCTCCTGCAGGCGAGCGCCCAGCTCGACGGGGTCCTGCTGGAGGCTGTGACCGTGCTGGGTGTCACCAGCCCTCCCCAGCAAGTCCTGGCCAATGGTGCCCTTGTGGAGGACTTCTCCTACCGCAGCGATACCCAGGCGAGTGCTCGTCGCCCCCATGGGAGGGGGTGGCGGTGGGGGGGAGCTGCAGGCCGATGGCTGGGAAGGGACCCGGGGCTCAGCCAAGGTGCTGGTGGGGTTTGGCCCCAGCGATGGCACAGCACCTGCTTTTTTGACACCAAGGAGTGTAAAGGGCTGCCCAGCATGAGCTGGGTCACTGCCCCGGGACAGGGCAGGATTAGGCTGTGCAAGGGGGCAAAGAAGGCGCGATGGAGGATGGAAAGGATGCGTGGTGATGGGGCTGGAGCTCAGTGAGGAGCAGTGGCACGGCTCTGCTCCCAGGGCTGTCTGCCATGGGCACCCTTCCCAGGAGGTCTGCGGGACCAGGGCCGTGCTGGGTTGCATCTCTGTCTGCACCCCAGGGGGGCAGGACACCCCCCTTAGCTCTGACACCCCCTTGGCTCCATCCCGGCCGGTTCTCACCGTGCTGACCCTTCCTTCTGCCCCTCAGGTGCTGAGAGTCCCCGTGTCGCTGCCGATGTGGGAGCAGTTTGTGATCGCTTGGTCCTGAGCCCGCGCTGGACCCGCACTGCTCGGCAGGGAGAGGCGACGCTGCTGCCTCCAGCTCTGGGGCCGAATCCGTCCTGTCTGTTGTAAAACCGGAGCTGCTGCTGCTCTTCCCGGGCAGTTTGGCTTCCTGTCTGGCTAACGTGAGATGGATGCACTGGACTTGCATCGAGGGGGCTTGCACAGCCCCTGGGGACGGGGAAACCCTCATCTCCTCCAAAATGGGGAGGAAAAAAAAGACCCAAGTGCCTTGTGAGACAGCAAACCTATTAACGTGCAGACCTGGTAACCTGTTGAGGGACTGTGGGGAGCCTCCTGGCTGTGCTTTTGGGAGGGGGATCCACGCAGGGGGGTGAGGGAGCTGTGAATAAAGTTGCTGTTTGCTGGGAGCAGCCCCAGGCTGTGTCCGTGCCCCTCTCTGCCGGTGCCTGTCCTCAGATGTGCCACTGAGCCCTGGCTCAGCATCCCACCCCCAGCTGGGAACCCCTGGCTCCATCCCTGCCTGGGGGCCTCCAGCAGGACTGCCTGTGCCCCTTGCAAGCTTCACCCCATGTCCCAGAGCGTTGGGGGACCCGGCTGCCCCCGCCGCCCCCGGCCGTGCCGTGGAGCCCTTTGGCTCATCCCAGCCTGGGGGCTGCTGCCAGCCCTGGCCATGCCGTGCGGCTCTGGTCCAGCCTCTGGGTGCAGGGAGGGAGCAGACACCGTCCCCCCCTGGGCCTCTGCACCTCCGGGGCTCTGGGCACTTGGTGTATTTTGTGTTAAATTAAACCCTACCCCTGCTGCCTCCTGGCTGTACCCGCCAGCCCCTTTTCCCCAGGGGCTGTGCAGCCGGGCTGGCTGCAGGGAGAGCTGGCAGGGGCGTGCTCAGCTCCAGCTAAAAATGGAGACCTCTCCTCCAGAGGCTTTATTGAGGGGCAGCTCGGCGCAACAGCTCCTCTGGCCGAGAACAGGGGATCCCTGAACGCTCCAGTGCCAGGTGGTGCTGGCAACACAGAGAGCAGCCCCTCGGGGTGTCACCCAGGGGTTTGGGACTGGCCCAGCCGGGATCCTGCTCTGACCCCCTCGTGCCCAATGGGCAGCGCGTGGCTGTCCCACGGCGATGGGGGACACTGGGCAGAGGTGATGCTCACAGCTCGTTGTGCAGCGGCCGGCACTGGGGGCTCAGTTTCTCTTCCAGGACAGCATCGGGGGCGCACACCCAGGGGTCACCCGTGTCCCACTGCCACTTCAAGAGCTGCGCACGAAGCAGCTGGAAGACGGCGGCATAGCGGGGGTCGAGGGCCAGGTTCTGGCTCTCGGTGGGGTCACGGCTACAGTCGAAGAGCTCCCAGCGGTCCCTGTAGTAGTACTGGTGCAGGGTCTTGTTCCAGTGGGTCGGCTGCCCGGCCCTGGTGCGGTTGAGCAGGTCTTGGAAAGTGGGCGAGACGTAAAAGTCCTGGTCAATGGGGAAGGGCATCTTGTAGTTGAGGTTGTGAACGAGGCGGAACTGCTGGTGCTGGATGGCTCGCATGGGGTAGTACATGGTCACCTCGTGGTGGCTCTGGCTGCTGAAGGCGGTGGCCCAGGGCTGCTCCGACTCCAGTGCTGGCAGGAGAGACTTTCCAGTGAGCTGCACCCGCTTCATGCCAAAGAGGCTGTAAGAAGGGTAGGGGATGGAGAACCAGTCCAAAATGGTCGGCGTCAGATCTGGAGGAGAAGAGAAGGGTGAGAGGAGTGGCTGGTGCCCGTGGGAGCAAACTCAGCCCTGGAGACGGGCAGAAAGGTCCCCAGACTCTGCTGCCACGTGGGCTGCGGGTGGCCCTGGGCTGAGCTGCAGAGCTGAGCCTTGGGGTGATGTGCCTGCAGGGGACCCTGCTGTTCTGTCACCCCTCCTCTCCCTTCCTGGGGCCGGCCGGGCTGAGGGCTGCAGGCTGTCCTCTGGCCCAGGACCCTGGCTTTTGGCGTGGGGAGGGTGGGGACCCGCTCGTGCACCCCAGTGCACAGCTCTGCACGCCTTGGCCCTGGGCTGAGCTGCAGAGCTGAGCCTTGGGGTGATGTGCCTGCAGGGGACCCTGCTGTTCTGTCACCCCTCCTCTCCCTTCCTGGGGCCGGCCGGGCTGAGGGCTGCAGGCTGTCCTCTGGCCCAGGACCCTGGCTTTTGGCGTGGGGAGGGTGGGGACCCGCTCGTGCACCCCAGTGCACAGCTCTGCACGCCTCTACTCCCT